GTTTGTTTGTTTTTTGAGGGGATAGGATTTGAGACAGGATTTGTAGCCCTGTCTGTCCTAGAACTCACTCTGTAGACCAGGTTGTCCTCCAACTCAGAGATCCACCTGCCTCTGCCTCCTGAGTGCTGGGATTATAGGCGTGCTCCACCACACCTGACTTTTTTTTTTTTTTTAGTATGTGTTTGTATATCTACATGCCATGGTGTGCATGCTGAGTTCAAAGAACAACTTTCAGGAATTTTTTTTTCCTTTCTCCATCTGGGAACCTGGGATCAAACTTGGATTTTCACTCTTGGTGTCAAACTCCTTCTCATTGGGCTACCTCACCAGCACAATAGTGAACCTTGAATGAATTCTCCATTCCCTACTGTTTGTTTTCATCATTCTTCAATTCCTAGTGAACTGGCTTCTTTACCCATCATTCTCTCACAAATACCACATTAACTGAGAGCTGACTTCATCAAGGATTGCTACCCTGTTGATGCCCGGCAGTGTTGCATCCTTCTGTACTGTGCCCTCAGAAGCCTGGGTCACCTTTCCTTCTGTCCTCTTTCCATGCTGTGTTAAAGTCTGATGAGGCCCCACTATGTCCAGACTGCTGTCCTCAGCTCCTCCTGCTACCTTCCTCTTTCTGTGACTGGTAAGTGTTGGCATAGCTCAGGTTCCTGCAGGAAAGACTCTTGCTTCCACTTTCCATGAAGTCTCTCTTGGCAAATGCATTCACTCGTGGCTTAAATTATCACACCATCCAGCCATCTGCTGCTGTCCTTCAAGTTGATCCTCCCCAGCTCGGAACTCTCTGACTGGATGCCTTGGTCATGGGTTTGGCAGGAGCCTCTAAACCTAGTTTGTGAAACTCTACCACAGTCTCATCACCTATGGGGTCCTCTGCCCCTCCTATTGTCTCTGTCTCAATAAAGCTTCAGTACCCACCAAGCTGAGTATGACTTTGCTATTCCTATTTGTCCTTTAATTATATAAAATTTTGTGTCAACTCACTTCTTTTTGTGCCCATTCCAAAAGACAACATGTCTTCTGTCTGGACATAAAAACAACTTACCTCTGGTCTGTTCACTCACTTCCTGCTGTCTTCAAATACCCAGAATAGTTTTGTAGAAAATGAGCATCTAATATTTTGTCACACTCTTGAGGAAGATTTATTGCCTTAACTGTGAGAATACAGTCTGGATCCTGAGGTCTTGTGAAGAATTCTGTGTCCAATCCAGCCCTGATGCATCTGTCTCTCCCTTCATTCTGAAAGACACCTCAGATGTATGGCATGTTAGAAGAGAAGCGGTGCTTGACTCTTAACATGAGACTAATGAATGGACAGGTACAAAATACCACCTTCTACTTTCAATACCTCTCAGTGCATTAACACTGTGGGAAGACTATGGACGGCAAGTTTTAGTTCCAACAGAGCAGGATTTGTGCCTCCCTTGTTCCCTCTTCTTCATTGCCTGACAGCAATGAAGTACTCACAACATCGTAAGTGAGTACTGAACAAGTGAAGAAGTTCAGATCTTGGTATGCATTTTAGCTCTTCTTTGCAGCACAATTTCTGGATGCTCTACAGTCACACTACGACATGATCCATGTCTTGATGCTTACATATTGTAACAAGCTGCTGCCAATAGAATCTAAAGGCAATGGCAGCATGCACTCACACTGCTGCCTTTGTGCACATGTTAAAGAACTCGAATCCGTAAGAATCACTAATTGACTATATCACTAAAGACTATATTATTTTCCTTGTTTCCCCTTTCCAAGCCAACCCAATGAATATTGTGTGTTCTTACGTGTCCTAATTCTGAATAAATAATGTACTACTACTGTCCTAGTCAATACAGATAAGAAAAAATTTGACCAAACAATTTATCATCACCAGCCCATTCCCAAAGTTGATAGGTTTAACATTTTTCCCAACTATTTCTAAGTTCTATAGAGTTATGTATAGTCATATTTATGTACATATATATCACTAATTTATATCCCCTGAAAATTAGTCTTCAAATCATAATTATAAGTACATTTCTAGGTCAATAGGTCTGTCTGTAGATGTAATTTTATTGTTTTAAAATGGCATCTTTTTTCACAATCATGATGAACACAATGTACTAAACATATTCTGAATAAAAGCTGTTACACAGTTCCAGGATTTTATCACTACAAACAACACTGCAATAAATATTCAGCAATACTTACTCAATGATGCCTTCATTTCTAGGGGAGATAGTCTCCATGTAGGATAATGGCATCAAAAGCACGTGTGCAGTTGTGCATGCATTTTTTGCTTGACTAGCTATTGCTTATTTCCAAACAGTTTCACAGTTTCCTATTCCCAGGGTGGCATTAGCATCCTCACATCACCACTCATTATATTTCTTTCCCTGTGAACTTCAGGAGTACCCTTCTTCTAGTGTAAGGTCAAATTTGCCCCTCACAGGAATTTCTGTAGACTACTCTTTACTCTTTCACTCCAGGTTTTTTTCTTGCTCGACATAGTATTTGCACCGCTGCATTCCAACAAATGCCAATGTTCTGCTGTCAACGGGAGATAAGCTGCACGGGGAAAGCAAAAGCATAAATTTCTCAAATTTGACATTAGAAAACAGTACAAAAGTAACCTTATAAAGTCTACCTCTTGACCACAATGTTTGTTCAATAATCCTATCCCAAGAAAACACAGCCCTAAATTACCTTATTCACCTACTCGCTGATATACCTCCTGAAGGATACCTTTAGAATATCTTCATTGATACCTTTAGAATGTCTTCATTTCCATTTTCACTCCCCAAACCTGAACTTTACAGTACAGGAGCAAAATCCATGCTTCAGTGGATTTTCTATGTATTTTTCTTCTCTTTCAAGAACATTCCTTTATTAAACATTCCAAATTTCCCAAAATGTCAACCTCTATTTGCATTTAACTGTATTACATTAGATTTAGTTTTTCTTGCCTCTATATTTTTTTCTTTTCTCCCTGTATTTCGAGATCTACATTCTGATCAGTTACCAAGATACGAGTAGAGTAATTCTTCAGTGTCCATAGATAAGACACATGGCCCATCTATATAGAGAAGCTTGCTTGCTTAAGTGAGACTGAGTTTGTCCAGATGGGTGGGACTCTTGGCAGGGTGAAGTTCTTGGGTTGCTGTCTTTATTGATTCCTTCGGGCTAGTAAAGAGATTATTCAGGCATCTTTAGCTCAGCATTATACAGATGAAGGGTGCACTCTTGTTCTGGTTTGTGTTTCTTGAGTGTGTAACCTGTTAATACACTTCTTATTGTTGTAGTAAAGAATTTTCAGCTAGATGTATGTGGGGATCTGTGTTTCATCAATCTGACTTTAGATTCAGTGCAAATTAATACTTATTAGATTAGGTAAATTTTCCTCTATTGTTTATTGGTAGCCCATTTCTTACTCATCTGTTCGTCTATCTCTCTGTCTCTCTCTGTCTCTCTCTGTCTCTCTCTGTCTCTCTCTGTCTCTCTCTGTCTCTGTCTCTCTCTCTCTCTCTCTCTCTCTCTCTCTCTCTCTCTCTCTCTCTCTCTCTCTCTCCATGTACATGTACACATGTGTTTGTACCTTTGCATGTACTCAGAGGCCAGAAGACTCTGTCAAGTGTCCACTCTAGCCCTCACCACCCTATTTGTTTGAAACAAGGTATTTCACTGGTGTTAGAGCTAGCTGGGTTTTTTGCTAGGGTGACTGGCTAGCAAGCCCCAGTGATCTTCCTGTCTCTGTCTACTACAGTGTTGGGATTATAGGTACAGTCCAGGTAGCAGGGCCACACCCAGCTGTTTATGTGTGACAGGCATCAAAAAATGGGGGTCAGTTTCCAACATATGTGCAGTCAGCGCTCTTATCCACTGAGCCATCTCCCCAGCCCCCATTTCTTCCCTGTATAAAACAATATATTTTTATTACTTGTGTGTATGCATGCTATATGTGGGTGATGGTGGAGGACAGAAGAGGGAATAAAATTCCCTACCCAGAAGCTGGAGTTTCAGGTAATTGTAAGCCACCTGATGTTGGTGCTGGAAATGGAACTCAGGTTCTCTGGAGGAACAGCAGGAGCTCTGACCCTCACAGGCATCTGTTAGCCACTGTTCATTTTTATTTCTAAACTTTATAGTCTTTACACACAAAGTTCCACACCATATTTCTTCATATATATATATGAAGAATATATATATATATATGAAGAATATATATATATGAAGAATATATATATATATATATATATATATATATATATATATATATATCAGGTTTAGCTTTTGTTCTATGAGTTTTTCATGGCTATTGTCACAAATTACTAGAAGTATTGTGTCTGAGCATTGTAAGTGCATTATATTCTAGCTCTGAAAGTTACAAGTCTGATGTGGGTCACCACAAACTAAATCAGAGTGTTGTTAGGGTTGGCTTCCTTCCCAGTGTCTCTCAGGAAGGAAGTAGTTCCTCACTTGTTCTGTCATGTAGAAATCACCCATGTCCAAAACCAATCAGATTGCAACATCTCCATCTTCTCCGTAGTCGACGGTTCTTCTTGTCTTTGCTGTTTGCCTCTTTGACTTTTAGGTCTTTTGTGATTATAGTGAACCCACTTGAATAATCAAAGATAATCTCCTGTCTCAAGGTCTTTTATTTAAAAATATCTGCAAATATCCTTTTCCCATACAAAGTAAATATTCCCCATGATCTAAGCATTAGGACATAAATGTCTTTAGATTATCAATATTTTGTCTACCACACCTGTGTTAAGAAAAGATCCTTATAGTTCTTCTCTCCTATTGAGTAAGCAACAGTATTTAATTGAATGGTAGTCAACAATAATGAATGAACAGTGAACTTAAATCAATGTACTGATAATTTTCATAGCTTTCTGCTATCCCTCGTTAGCTTTTGTAGTACTTAATCCCTGATGCAGTACATTCCATACTTCTTCACAGTTTCTATGGCTGGAGCAACTGACCACACGTTCTTCTTCTTGCAGAATCCAGTGAACATGAAGACAAAAGTACAGGTGCCTCAGGGGAGACACCCTCCCAGCCTTATCCTGCACCAGTGTACAGTCAGCCTGAAGAGCTAAAGGAACAGGTGGATGATACAAAGTCAAAAAAGCCTGAGGAGAATGAGGACTTGGACCCATTGCCTGATAACTGGGAAATGGCCTACACAGAGAAGGGTGAAGTCTACTTCATTGAGTGAGTTTCAGGCATTTCCTTGAACATTATCCCAAAGATCATAACAAGATGTTAATGGTATTACTAATGTAGATATGGTCAAAGAAACATGGGAGTATTATTATTTCTGCTAACAACTCAAAATGAGATATTGCTTCCATAGAGATAAGGATCCTAGATGACAGCTACTTATAGCAAAGAATGAATTAAACAACTATACTATACACTCATTACAATGGGATGTTAAAGAGACAAATCACCGTAGGTTATTATTTTCGGATAAAAAAGACTTTTAAGGCAGTGGTTCTCAACCTTCCTAATGCTGTGACGCTTTAATACACTTCCTCATGTTGTGGTGACCCCCAACCATAAAATTATTTTTTGTTTCTACTTCATAACTATAATTTTTGCAACTGTTATGAGTCATAATGTAAATATTTTTGAAGATAGAGGTTTACCAATGGGGCTGCGACCCACAGGTTGAGAAATGCTGCTTTAAGGGGTCCTTAAAAAAATGTTTGCCTACCTCCTTCATAGACATATATGATCTTCTTAGCTCTTTATTTCCAGAAATGGCCACCATTATGTTCAGGACGTAGGTAGAATGCAGTTGTTTCAAGCAAAATATTTGATGGTGACAAAAATCAAGGGTTTCAACAGTTGACTCTAAGGTCAGGTGTCAATAAGATAATTTGTATAACGATCATACTTCCTTCTAGTAAACTCCATTGTGTTTATTACCTGTCTTTATTAGTTTCTTTTGAGTGGTGGTATTGGGTGCTGTTTACCATTTTCTCATTTACCAAAGAAGTGAAATATTGATCATTAACTTACAAGTGATGCTCAATCCAATCTATTGTTCTTTCCAAACTTGTTTCTAAAATATTTATAATTCATATACTCTTTTAACAATATGTCCAGCTTTCATATTTGTTATTGCTATTAGAACAACTTTTAAAATCATAATTAATGTAATTGTCCATATTTAGCAACATAGAACATTATACATGTATGCAATGAATAATAATGTTATCAAGGTAATTAATGCTTCCATTCTCTCATATGATATTATTTGCATATGTTGAGAGCCCTCTGACTCTCCCTCCAGCTTTATGTAATCGATAATTAATAGCTGTAAACTGTAGATGCCCTATCATTCCATTCAGCAGAGTAAGTTTTTTAAAGAAACTAACATTGAAGGTCTTGACCCAAAATTAAATCATTGATATGAAGAATACAACTAAAATGTTGATTGGAAATAATAAAAACTAAAAATATTACAAATATCCATCAACTCATTCCCTCTGAATTATAAGAACTTCAAGGAAAAAAATAATAGAAATTGAAATTCTCAGTGTTGGGAGTAGATAAAAAGTACATATGCTCTGACTACTCAAGAAAGATATTAAAACTGTGTTCCCTTTCCCAACCTACAGTGATTTATAACTTAGATCTCCATAGGCAGAGCTCAGTTGTAAAATTGAAATGTTACCACATACCAATATTTAATTCTCACATGAAGCTGGAAACTTTGATACATGTGGCACAAGGAATCCATAATCAGGTAATTACTTGGTGCTCTGTTTGACTCCAACATGGATGAGAAACGCAGTGTTTTACTAAAATGTATCACTAACCTCTATATTTTGGCAAATCTAAGTTTATTTTTTAAAGAGTAAAATCTCTCACATGATTTTTATTTATATAATCAATGACATCTGTTATCAGTTGAAAGGAGGAAGTTAGATTTTGTTAAATATAACCAACTAAAAATCCTAGAAACATGGTTTTGATATTGATGAAAATATCATGACATCATTAAATACCATGTCAGACACTGACATTTAGAGCAATGAGGCTGATGTATTAATTATGTAACACAGGATAGGTAAAGATATGTGGGAATAATGAAATAAAATACATTAGCACAAGTTGATTAAAGAATCATTTATAATGTATCCAATAATGCAATTGTGAAAACCTTCTTGATTTGTGCTTATGAAGTGAATTTTGCTCTTTAATTCAGTCAGGTTTAGGGACTGTGAAGAAAAGGAACTTTGGAAGACATAAGCCATTCCCTGTTTATAGTAAATAATGGGGCTCTGTCTGGGTAGGAGAGGATATAACAAAATGATTTTACTATCATCCTCCTCGGTATGCCAGTATTGGTATTCAAAGACTCATAAAGTTTTTGTTCTGCTGTCAATCTTATTATCAGGTCAGGAAAGAGAGAAAATTTGTCCTAGACAGTAAACATTTGAATTTTATGATACTGTTTCAGTAAATGATAAGCGTAGACAAGACCTAAAGGGTTGTCTTACTTTTCTATTGCTGTGAAGAGGCACCACGGCCACGCAACCCGTACAAAGAAAGAAGTTATTGAGGGCTTGCTTACCGTTGAGTTCCTGACGATCATGGCAGGGAGCAAGACAGCAGATAGACATGGCGCTGTAGCAGTATCTGAAATCTTGTATGTTGAGATAATAACAGTGAGTCAAAAGAGACAGACAGAGCTAACTGGGAATGGCCCTGGAGCAGTAGCTGAGAGCTTACATTTTGGTCCACAGGCTAGATGCACAGAGGGATATAGTCAACTGGAAAAGGCTGGGCTTTTGAACCCTCAGAGCCCACCCCTGTGACACTCCTCCTCCAACAAGGATACACCTCCTAATCTTTCCCAAATAGTTTCACCAACTGAGGATCAAGCTTTAAAAAATTATGGGCCTATGGGAGCCATGCTCATTCAAACCATGGCAGAGGTTAAAGGGGGATGGGATGACAGACTTGGGAAGTTGCTCTCATGTAGAAAAGCGGAGCTGTCCTGCTATAGGAATTGCTCTTATAAAGACCCTCATCTCTGGGTAAGTTGGGAGTAATCTACGACAAAAAAAAATCCTTGGAAATAGCTGCTTATTTTTCATTTTGCTATATCATTAGTTCTTTTGAAAGAAGCAAGGAATTGACATTTTCATTATTTTACTTTGAGGTTTTTGTTTTTCATTTTAATCTTTTTTTTTTTCTGTGATGCTAGAGGGAAGGATCAATCAGAAATATTAGGAACCGAGATAGGTTTAGGTGGGACATTAAGACAGAATGCAGTAAACAACTCATTTCTATTGTGAAGAGAGAAGTGATATCAAGGCAGACCTGTCTAGGTTGTCAGGAAAAATGCAGACGTGTAGCGTGCAGGCTGAACTGACCCACATGGAGGCAATGTGGCTGTGCTGCTCCACAGGCCCGCCCACTGTCTGTGCTGCATTTGCTTCTGTTCTGTCTTTCAGTCCTCTGCAAAGGTTAGTGTGAATCCACTCCATGTGATGAGCTCAGGTACACAGGGAGGGACACGGAGAGGGTCTGCGTGTTCGTCGGTCCCTCACTTCCACAACTTCCTGCTTACTCCCGCGTTCTGCATTGCACGGTCCTTTTTTTTTTCTCAACTGCATTTGACAAAAATCAGCATTTCCACCTAATATTGTCATTTTGCAAGTACCTTTGCTGTTGATATCACAGGGAATTTGAGAAAAATTCTGTATTATAAAAATTCCCAGGAAACAGGCATATTAAAGACAGAGACAGGCAGGAGAAGCTGTTGGCCAGTGAGAACCTTCTGAAGTCCTGAGCTATGATGCTTCCAAGAGGAACCCTGGAGCACAGTTACAGTAACAGGAAGCCAAACAAGAAGCAGGGTAGAAATGCATGCAAATTTCTGATGGCTAATTAGCATGGGCATTATGTATAGCTTTTCTTTTCCTTGTGGGTAAGAACACTTCACATCTTTTAGTAATTGTCAAAAATACCAATTTTACATTCTAATCTAAAATGAATAGTTTATTTAAAGTGAAAATGAAAATGTCACCTAAATAAGTAAGCTCAATATTTATTCAAATATTTTAAAAGAAGAAAAGTAGAGTAATGGGAAAGAAAAGGGAAAGTAAAGAAGGAACATGTGATGAGTTGGGGAAGAGCTTCCCTTGCTAAGAGTTTGCCATCGGAGGTACCCTTCTTTCTAGCAGTGACGGACAGCTCCTGACAGGGACCTTTCCCCACCAAACTTGACTGAATTTTGTCTCCTGTGAAAATAAAGGTCATTATAAAATAGAAAATAAACAAGATTGCTATTTAAAATTGGTATATGCAAATTTACTTCTAAACAGAACTCAATTCTGAAACATTAATAAGTATATATAATTAAACACAGATATAAGCATTGTAGTTTTAATTAAGGTGACAAGTAATTCTATTTGTCTTCTGTGCAATAATGTTTGAATTTTTATATATTTATAAAATTTTATATATTTATTTTATTTCGTATCACAGAATGGCTTATAAGGGTCAGTCCTTTAGTTTATTTTTAAAAAATTGTGTGTGTGTGTGTGTGTGTGTGTGTGTGTGCGCGCACGCGCACACACACACACGACAAGTGCTCTAGTAGGCTAAAATAGGTCATTGGATCCTCAGGACTGGAGTTATATACAGTTGTGACTGCCAACCATGGGTGCTGGTAGCTGAATTCAGGTTCTCTAGAAGAGCAGGAAGCACTCCTAAATACTGAGTCATCTCTTTTTTTATTTATTTTTTTTATTTAAATAACTTTATTTGATTCATCCTTTGGTTGCACTGAGCCATCTCTTAATCCCCAAAGGTTAAGTCCTTCAGAATTTTGTATTTAGCCAGGTGGCAGTGGTGCACAACTTTAATCCCAGCACTTGGGAGGCAGACCAAGATGGGTCTCTGTGAGTTCAAGGCCAGCCTGGTCTACAAAGTGAGTTCCAGGACAGGCACCAAAACTACACTGAGAAACCTTGTCTTGAAAAACCAAAAAAAAAAAAAAAAAAAAAAAAAAAAAAAAAAAAAAAAAAATTTATATTAAAAAGATAATTTTGGGGCTGGAGAGATGGCTCAGCCGTTAAAGGCTAGGCTTACAACCAAAAATATAAGATAATTTTGTTGTTGTTTTCACACTGATGAATTAATGAGACATTTCTGTTTCCCACATTTTAAAGCTACTTCTTTAGATGAAT